GTTTTGTGTGTGTGTGTGTGGGGGGGGGGGGAGGGGTTGTATAATTCAGCTAAGAATCGAACTAACAGGAAAACATGATTGACTATTTCTGGGGTACTGAAATCTGGTGCAGCTTATGGGGTAACACAATCCCCAGACGAGAAAAAAAGATGGCAATTGATCTAAACAAGGAATCTTCTATTTTTCTCATTAATTAGACCCCTTGATGTTCAATACAACTTCTGACATTCTCAAATATCAAATTGTAGGCCAGGTACGAACATAAAGGAAACTCAAAATTGTGATGGCATACAAGATCTCAAAAAGTGCATCCACATGCACACTACTGAGCCACAAAATATTATCCTAGGATGACAGCTAGACTAACAGTAATTCCTCTGATTGGTCAAAATAAGAAAATCAGCAAACATTGCATGCGTATTTAAATTTTAATTCTAGAACCTTTACCTGCACATAATAAAAACAGTTAGATGTTAAAATCACAGGAAGCAGCCACTAATGAGAACCATGGGCATCAGTCGTAGAAAAAACCCTTGTGCTTCCTAGCATAGCAGTAAAGTAACTGAAGTATCAACCAGTTACCAAATACAGAAGTATCAATAAGAGCGATAATCACTGAAGCATCAAGCAATGGGTTGATTTGTAGACCCGTTTGAAGGGAGACTGTATTTCATACTTCCAAAAGTGTGCAAGTTCCTATAAAATCCATAATTGTGCATGTACAAATTATGCTCATAAGTGTGCATGCCATTATAAACTATTCTCATAAGTTTATACGCCCCCCCCCAAAAATTATGCTTAGAAGTGTGCATGCCCCTACCTGTAAACTACAAATGGAAGAACCATAAAGGCAGAACACAAACAGTGACTTCAATTCCCACAGGCCCATGCCATTACTTGATGAACCATCTCTGCCAACCTATTAGACATCCTAACATGTAACAAAAAAAAAGTAAGGCCGCAAAGTACTCGTTTTCTCAGACTTTCCGACAATCACAGGGCGTAATAACCCACAAGATTATCATATCACTAGATGACATGTAGGGGGCCACCCTCAATAATCCCACTCCCTTCAAGAGTACATCAAAATCTGCACCTTACCAACGCTAATTTTTTAATCAACCATTATATAATCCACAATACTGAGCCAACATGCAAAACACTCCGTTTTTTTTTCTTTTGATAAATTTCAGATTGTTCCATCTTCACTCAATATGATATCATCAAATCCACAACTCCTCAGTTCCCCTTCGCAGACACATCGAAGTTAATAGCTTCAAAACTTCAGTCGATGCCAGGCAAAATTTACATCAACTGACTTCCGAATCTTATGAGAATGATGGAACATTTCTTGAAAGCCAACAATAATTGCATCGGAAAAAGCAGATCCTTTCCAGGCATTGAGTTCATTCAATTTCTGTATTTCCAACTAATGCAAGATGTTTGGCTGTCATTGGCCCAACCCTGTAGTCCGTAACACCTTAGGTTGCCCTGTGAACAGACACCTATATATATATATATATATATATATATATATATATATATAT